TGGAAATCTTCGTCTTGTTTTCTGCATCAAACTTTGAACACGTCCGTCAAAGGTTTTTTTTGACACCAGAACTTTGAACTATTTGATTCTCTGATCTGCTGTCGGTTAATCCACAACTTTGGAAAGTTCGTTCTCAAACACATTGAATTGGAAGATTTTAGACTTCTTCCTTATTATGCTAAAGCTAGAGATTTTATACTAGCTTCTTTATTATGCTAAAGTTAGAATTATTGTCCAAAGAACTAACAAATCTAACTTCTACAGCAGTTAGGAAAAAATGGTATATTTACATTAATACCCATGATATAAATCTGTTGAAACAAGACTAAATGTTGATGGTGTGAGCCTCAGCTGTTGTGTGTGAGTCTCACCTGGTGAGTCTAAACTGGGCCTTAATCCCAGTCAGAGATACCGACTGAGATAGTTGGCCTCACCTCCACACACAGCTTGGGCTCTGAACCCAACTCCTTGAGAGGGTTGGACGCTCCACTTCTCTGGTGTTTCTCGCGGGGAGAGGCGGCGAGCTGGGGTGGCCATTCTCATTGCCCCCCATCTCAGCTCCACGTGTTGGAGTGAATGAGAGGGTTGCGTCCCTCTGCCTCCGGGTAGGGGACAAGTCTCTCACTGTTGTTGTGCCTACGGGCCTAACAGCAGTGCAGAGTACTCGGCCTTCTTGGAGTCCTTGTGAGGGGTACTGGACAGTGCACTGCCCGGGGACTCCGTTATTCTCCTGGGGTACTTCAACGCCCATGTGGGGGACGCCAGTGACACTTGGAGAGGGGTGAAGGGGAAGAACGGCATTGATCTGAACCCGAGCGGTGTTCAGTTGTTGGACTTCTGTGCAAGTCACAATTTGTCCATCACCAACACGATGTTCATCTGACCTTCGGCCGCGTTTCTCGGACACTCGGGTGAAGAGAGGAGCGGAGCTAAAGAGAGGGGCGGAGCTAAAAAAAAGGGGCAGAGCTAAAGAGAGGGGCGGAGCTAAGAGAGGGGCGGAGCTAAAGAGGGGCGGAGCGGTCAACCGATCACCACCTGGTCGAGAGTTGGATCCGCTACAGGGGAGGAAGCCGGTCAGACCTGGCAAGACCCAAGCGTGTAGTGAGGGTTTGCTGGGAACGTCTCGCTGAGCCCTCCGTCAGACGGACTTTCAACTCAAACCTCGGGGAGAGCTTCTCCCAGGTCCTGGCGGAGGAGAGGGACATCGAGTCTGAGTGGACCATGTTCTCCTCCTCTATCGCCGATGCGGCGGCTCGTAGCTGTGGTTGCAAGGTCTCTGGTGCTGATCCCGGCGGTAGCAGAACCCGGTGGTGGACACCGGCAGTAAGGGATGCCGTCAGGCTAAGGAAGGAGTCCTATCGAGCCATGATGGTTCGTGGGACTCCTGAGGCAGCTGTCCAGTACCGGCAGGCCAAGCGTGCCGCGGCCCTGGCTGTTGCAGAGGCAAAAACCCGGGACTGGGAGGAGTTCGGAGAGTCCATGGAGCATGACTATCGGTCGGCCTCAAAGAGGTTCTGGCAAACTGTGCGGCGCCTCAGGAGGGGGAAGCAGTTATTTGCCAACACCGTGTCGGTCGGTGGAAGGAATACTTCAAGGTTCTCCTCAATCCCTCCGTCACCTCCTCCTGCAGGCAGAGGCTGAGGATGTTGGGGTGGATACTTCCATCTCCCTGGGGTCACCAAAGTGGTTGGCAGCCTCCATGGTGGCAAGGCGCCAGGAGTGGATAAGATTTGTCCTGACTATCTAAAGTCTCTGGATGTTGTAGGACTGTCTTGGCTGACACGTCACTGCAACATCGCGTGGCGATCGGGGGCGGTGGTCCCTCTCCAAGGGACTGGAGAGGAGACTACGGCTGATGGTCGAATCTCGGATTCCGGAGGAGCAGTGTGGTTTTGGTCCCGGCCTTGGACCACTGGACCAGCTCTATACTCTCCATCGGACACTCGAAGGTTCATGGGAGTTTGCCTGTGTTCCCCGGGGTGTCTTTTGGGGGGTTCGTTGGGAGTAAGGGGTCCAGAGTCCTCTGCTGAGGGCCGTCCGGTCCCTGTATGACCGGAGCCAGAGCTGTGTTCGCATCAGCAGTCAGACCTGTTCCCGGTGCATGTTGGCTTCCGCCAGGTCTGCCCTTTGTCACCGGTTCTGTTCACTGTCTTTATGAACAGAATTTCTAGGCGCAGCCAGGGGCCGGAGGGGGTCCGGTTCAGAGACCACAGCCAGGGGCCGGAGGGGGTCCGGTTCAGAGACCACAGCCAGGGGTCGGAGGGGGTCCGGTTCGGGGACCACAGGATTTCATCCCAGCTTTTTGCGGACGATGTTGTCCTGTTGGCTCCACAGAACCAGGACCTGCAACATGCACTGGGATGGTTTGCAGCCGAGTGTGAGCTGGGATGAGAATCAGCACCTCCAAATCTGAGGCCATGGTGCTCGACCGGAAAAAGGTGCCTTGTCCTCTCCAGGTGGGGAGGTCCTTCCTCAAGTGGAGGAGTTCAAGTATCTCGGGGTCTTGTTCAGGAGTGAGGGAAGGATTGAGCGTGAGATTGAAGGCGGATCGGTGCAGCGTGCGCAGTGATGCGGTCATGGTATCGGGCCGTTGTGGTAAAGAGGGAGCAGCGTCTGTAGTCAAAGCTGTATCGGGCCGTTGTGGTGAAGAGGGAGCTGAGCCAAAAGGCAAAGCTCTTGATTTACCATTCAAACTTCGTTCCCTCCGTCACCTACAGTATGGTCATGAGCTTTGGGTAATGACCAAAAGAACGAGATCGCGGATACAAGCGGTCAAAATGAGCTTCTTCCACAGAGTGGCTGCTTCCTTAGAGAGCTCAGTCACACGGGAGGAGCTCGGAGCAGAGCCGCTGCTTCTCCACGTCAAGAGGAACCAGTTGAGGTGGCTCGGGCATCTGTTCAGGATGCCTCCTGGACGCCTCCCTGGGGAGGTATTCCGGGTACGTCCCACCGGGAGGAGGCCTTGGGGAGGACCCAGGACACGCTGGAGGGACTATGTCTCTCAGCTGGCCTGGGAATGCCTTGGGGTCCCCCGGGATGAGCTGGAGGAAGTGTGTGAGAGGGAAGTCTGGGCGTCTCTTCTTAGACTGCTGCCCCCGCGACCCGGTGACGGATGAAGCGGAAGAAAATTGAATGGAATGGATGGATGTTAGTCCCAGAGAGAGAGACCAGAGAGACTAGAGAGAGAGTAGAGAGAGAGAGAGACCAGAGAGAGACTAGAGAAAGACCAGAGAGAATAGAGAGAGAGTAGAGAGAGAGAGAGACCAGAGAGAGACTAGAGAAAGACCATAGAGGGTAGAGAAAGAGTAGAGAGAAACCAGAGAGAGACAAGAGAAAGACCAGAGAGAATAGAGAGAGAGTAGAGAGAGAAGATATAGAGTGGAGACCAGAGAGAGCCCAGAGAGAGAGAAGAGAGGGACCAGAGAAAGACCAGAGAGCGGGAGAGACCAGAGAGAGCCCAGAGAGAGAGAAGAGAGGGACCAGAGAAAGACCAGAGAGTGGGAGAGACAAGAGAAAGAATAAAGAGAGGCCAGAGAGGTTAGAGACATAAAGTAGAGAGAGGGACCAGAAAGAGAGCAAAGGGACGGAGAGATGAATGACACAAAAGAGAACTCTGAGGAGCACAGGGACTGGCCTCCTGCTGGTTCCAAAGTCCCTCTTTAGTCTCTCCTGCACTTATTTTTGAGTTCCTTCAAAATCAGGATTCATAAATAAATGTGACAAATCGAGGGTTCGTAATGTGTGTTTTACATTAAAATAATCAAACAAACTATAAGGACACAGATCAGGGGATTGAGTGAGGACAAAAAGGTTAAGCACATTTTATTCTTAAATTTTATCTTATTTTGTATATTTGTATATTTTGTATCGTAGTTTTCACTCGTTATTCAAATCCGTTGTATACAGCATTCAATAACTTGTATTCTTTGAGTATAACAACAGGAAATTCTACAGACAGAGTCTAAAGACAGCGTCAAATAAAACAGCGGTAAAAGACAGCGGTGGTCGTGCAGCGCCGTGCGCCCGCTTCACTCAGGCAGTTCCTAAAACAAAGTTGTTTCATTTTAAAATACAAACATACAGCTAAATGGCGAGTAGGGCCAGTGCGACAGACATACCAACTTTAGGTAGGACATTCTCTCAGGAGTTCTCACTGGGGAGGGAATGACTCCCAGTTTCAGAGGACCACCGGGGACCACACACACCCGGTCTCCGGGTTGTGAGAGGACGCTGGCGCGTTTTGGCTGCCGCTTCTCCACCCGGAGGAAAAATAAGGAAAAAGCTACAATAAAATCTTTGTACTTACTACTTTTACTGGCCAAACTTATCTGCTCCCGTTTTCCAAACTGGATTGTTCCCGGTCTTTGCCTGTCATCACTGGGGTGTTCGCCGTGACCACCATCAAGCCTCCGTGCAGAGCGCCCAGACCAGCTACGAGTTGCCCAAACCGCGGTACGCAGTTAGGTCACCGGCCTCTGGAATCTCGGAGTGAGCTTTCGGCAATGTGGCCTCTGTTACTGGCCTTTCTGCTGACCTGGCACGGGCTGTCATCACCCTCAGCTGTCTCCACATCTCCGACCATGGCTCTCCGGTACACATCCTCGCAGCTCCTCAGTTTTAACCACCGCGATCCTCCAACACTGGACTTGATCAGCACGATGAAGCAGCACTGCCTTCTCCAACGTTGTCCCTACATTCACAGAAGCTCCCGCCGCAAATACATCCTTCATTCCTCCACCGAAACAGTCATCCCCTCTCTCTGGACTGATCACAACACGCGCCATCTTGGGAACTTCCGTATGCGTCATTTGCGCACAAGTCACGTGACTCCTTTCACCCTCCGCTCAATTCCAACTTGTACAACAACTTCACAACAAAAAACACTCAAGGCGGCCCTCTTCAACACACGCTCACTAAATAATAAAAGCCTAATTCTAAACTAATTTATTACTGACAATAAACTGGATTTCTTCTGTCTAACCGAAACCTGGCATAAACCCATGGACTACCTGACCCTAAATCAGACCACACCACCTGGATACTCGTACCTCGACAACCCCCGCCCTGAACGTCGGGGAGGAGACATCGCAGTCATCTTCCAGTACAACCTCAATCTTTGCCCTATCTCCATCCCTGCCACTACCTCATTCGAACACCTGGTCTTCAGACTCTCTGGTTCACAATCTCCCATTGTTGGCATTATATACCGCCCCCCCAAAACCTGTACTTCATTCCTTTCAGACTTTACAGACTTCTACACACAGCTCTCCTCCATCTCTCCCTCTGTTCTCCTCCTTGGAGATTTCAACATCCATGTTGATAATCCACACTCCAAATTCACAGCCGATTTTCTGGACATTTTAAACTGCCTAAACCTCACCCAGTATGTAAACTCTCCCACTCACTCTCATGGTCATATTCTCGATCTCATCTGCTCCTCTGCCTCATTATCAATCGATTATATCACTCTCACAGACCTCACCCTCTCCGACCACCTAGCCGTCACCGTCGATATTGCCATACCCAGTCAAACTCCCAAACAAACACGCAAAATAACATACCGCAAACCCCTCAGCCCCACTACATTTGCCTCCTCCGTAACTACTACTTTATCCTCTTCCCCTCACCCCCGTCCTGACTCATCCACCTCAGAACTCGTCGACCATCATAATCAGATCCTCTCCTCCTGCCTGAACCAGTTCGCTCCCCTCAAAACTGCCACAGTCTCCTTTTCCACCTCTGCTCCTTGGTACACCCCAGACCTTCACAACCTCAAGAAGAAACGCAGACAGCTTGAAAGACTCCACGCCAAGACTGGTCTTACTGTTCATGCCGAAGCCTGCAAATACTTCACCAACACCTACAACACCGCTCTCAAATCCGCCCGTTCTGATTATTTCTCTCAGCTGATCCGCTCCAATTCCTCTAACTCACGCACTCTGTTTTCCACTTTCGCCCGTCTCACCAAGCCCATTGACAATATCACCTCCACATTTACAACAGACAAATGCAACAATTACCTCTCATTCTTCCATTCTAAGATCCATACAATACACAATACCCTGCAGAGCTCTTCCTCTCACCATCTCTCCTTTGAAACCCATTCCCCTGTCGACCTATCCAGAAATCACAGGCTTTCCTCCTTCTCCCTGCTCTCAACAACCAACACCGCCAAGCTCCTCTCTAACATGAAACTCAGCACCTGCCACCTTGACCCCACTCCATCCACTCTCCTGAAAGCCTGCATCCCCTCTCTGACTCCACTCATCACAAACATCATAAACTCCTCCCTCACCACCGTTACTGTCCCTCCAAATCTCAAAATCGCCACCATCAAGCCACTCCTCAAAAAACCCAACCTAGACTCCGAAAACCTGGACAACTTCCGCCCCATCTCAAATCTCCCCCTCCTATCAAAAATCCTAGAACGTGCCGTCATAACCCAAGTTCAACAATACCTCCACACCTTCTCCCTCTTTGAAATTTTCCAATCCGGTTTCCGTCCCCATCACAGCACTGAAACAGCCTTCCTAAAAGTATCCAACGATCTTCTCCTTGCAGCTGACTCCGGTTCCCTTTCCATCCTCCTCCTCCTTGACCTCTCCGCAGCATTTGACACCATCGACCACTCTATCCTCCTCCACCGTCTGCAATCTATTGGCATCTCCAACACTGTTCTATCCTGGTTTTCTTCATACCTCTCCGACCGTCATCATTATGTTTCCATTAACAACTGCACATCCCAAACCTCCCCTTTCTCCACTGGTGTTTGTAACCCAGGTGACAAATCCTGCTAGTGTTTTTCCCCTTTGAATATACCACTGCTTGGCCTACTGCTTGCTCCACCCATTAGCCAATCAGATCCCTTCTAGCCAATGCATGGTTTTATTGGTTAGAGGAAAGCAGGTTCAGGAAGTGCTGTGGGGGAAGCTGTGTAGGGAGTGGCTGCAGGTGTGTAGTGTGCTCACTTTACTGTTTGATGCCTTTGTGTTTTGTTTGACGTTTATTGTACAAACTTGCCTCATTTAGGAGCCTTCTATTTGCCAAAGAATAGTGATCAGCTCGCTTGTGAGGAGGAATACAAGGAATTGGTGAGTATAGCTTATTTCACACTGTAGCATAGCCATTTCTAGCCACATCCATTTTGTATTAGTGGAGTGGTTAACATGTGCTTTATGCAAGCAGCCTTTATGCCTGTTCTGTCCATCAGTAAAGGCGCGTTCAGACCAAAAGCTTCAAAAAGCTTTTGACGCGCTTCAACTGACGCCGGGATAGTTTTGTCATTTTGGTGCTTGAAGCTTTTGACGCGAGTGACGCGAGTGACGCGCCTGACGCTGGTGGGAGGAGCTTCTCTGTTGTCTGTAGTCAGGACAGCGGTGGATTTTTCAATGAGCAGCGAGCCTTTATTTGTTATATAAAGCAAAATAACGTTGTTGTAGGGCTTCAACAAAACATGTTCTGGGTTCACCACAGACTTGAGAGGCTGCAGTGTTTGCAGAGTTCCGTCATTTACTCCAGGAGCTGCGTACGGAGGAGTTTCGCTTTCAGCGGTACTTCCGCATGTCACTCACCCAGTCTGAGTTCTCAAACCCCGGAGCTCGCCTCTCCCCGCCTCTCCCCGCCTCGCTCTCGCCTCTCCCCGCCTCGCTCTCGCCTCTCCCTGCCTCTCCCGCCTCTCGCTCGCCTCTCCCTGCCTCTCGCTCGCCTCTCCCTGCCTCTCGCTCGCCTCTCCCCGCCTCTCCCCGCCTCGCTCTCGCCTCTCCCTGCCTCTCCCTGCCTCTCGCTCGCCTCTCCCGCCTCTCGCTCGCCTCTCCCTGCCTCTCGCTCGCCTCTCCCGCCTCTCGCTCGCCTCTCCCTGCCTCTCGCTCGCCTCTCCCTGCCTCTCGCTCGCCTCTCCCGCCTCTCGCTCGCCTCTCCCTGCCTCTCGCTCGCCTCTCCCTGCCTCTCGCTCGCCTCTCCCTGCCTCTCGCTCGCCTCTCCCGCCTCTCGCTCGCCTCTCCCTGCCTCTCGCTCGCCTCTCCCTGCCTCTCGCTCGCCTCTCCCTGCCTCTCGCTCGCCTCTCCCGCCTCTCGCTCGCCTCTCCCTGCCTCTCCCTGCCTCTCCCTGCCTCTCGCTCGCCTCTCCCTGCATCTCTCTGCCTCTCCCCGGCTCTCGCCCGCCTCTCCCTGCCTCTCCCTGCCTCTCCCTGCCTCTCCTTGGCTCTCGCTCGCCCGGAGCTGCCTTGCTCTGAGCCAGACTCATCGTCAGCCTGTTCTTATTTTAAATAAACTACGTTTACTACACAGCATGTGTACAATGATTTTTGTTACTCAGAACGTTAGTACTCATACAAATAACATTACTAATAACAATAATGACAATAAAACAGTAGCAGCAGATACATGACTTCTCTCCATGACAGAGACAGACCCTCTGCTGCTGCTGCTCCTCGTCTCCTGATTGGTTGAAGCCTGTCAAAGCTTCAAAAGCTCAGCTTTGCTCAGCTTCGGCGTCAAAGGGATTGTTTTGATACGCGAGCGTTTCGCGCGTCAAAAGCTTCAAGTGAGCGCGTAGTACGCGCGACTCTTGAAGCTTTTGACGCGCGTCAAGTGACGCCGGGCCCCTCGGCTTCACCTGACGCGCTTCACCATTCACTTTCAATGCAAACCTGACGCTTTTGACGCCGAAGTTAAGTCCGGTGTGAACGCCCCTTAATGCTTTGCTTTTACTTATGAATGTTATTTAATGATATTGCATTCATTGTTTAACTTATTGACTGTTTATTGAATGTTCATTGAATGTTTGATTTATACTGTTTAATGACTACAACTAGTACATTATGTTTATATACACTGTGAATATTTATATACTAGTACTGATATGGTTTTTAACCTTTTGATAATGATGGATTATAGTACAACCTGTGCTGTATTGTAGAATCGTGTGCACACTGGAGCTTAACTATTTAGTTAGCTTTTGATTTATTTGAGCTTTGGTCCTGTTCTACAGGCCAGGTTTTGACCCTGATGGCGAGCTGAAGGACCAGGCCTAGAGCCTACAGAGCCCACTGGATCTGGAGTCGCATGTTCGCATCTCCCCTGCTGGCCGGTAGGGGGCTCCTTGCAGCCCACAAACTCTCTCCCCACTTTGCACGGAACTTTTGCAATCCACTCATCCACATCTCACAAACTCTTGTGCACCGCCTCCCTCTGTCCAACTGGTCAAACCCAGAGTGGGTTAATGATGAACTGTGCCGCGGGCTGAGAAACTGTTTTGTTGAATTCTATCACTGGTTGCTTTTGTGAATACTGTGAAAACCGTCTCTATACATTGTACTTGTGCAGTGCTGAATGAATATTGATTCGAAACACGTGTTACCATTGAATGGCCATTCACTGATTTTTGGTTATATGTTTTGTGTGTCACTGTATTGTTTGTCAAGTTTGTCCTTTGTTAATACATGGTAACAACCAAACTTATTCAGTCTCCTGCCACTCCCTCCTTGAGCCAAATCTAGACTTCTGACTACTAGCCTAATACAACTCTACTATTATTTTATTATTACACGTTTATTACTTAGTACTTACTGTGTTATAACTATATTCTGAGATTTTGCAGCTTCTTGTTTGTTCTACTTAGTTTACATATTATTTTATGACACAGGGGTTACATGTTCCCCAAGGTTCGGTACTGGGCCCCCTCCTCTTCATCATTTACATGCTTCCCCTTGGCCACATCATCCGTCACCATGGACTACACTTTCACTGCTACGCTGACGACACCCAGGTCTACATCTCCACCAAATCCATCTCCCCAGTCATCCTCTCCACCATCACACACTGCATCTCTGACATTAAATTCTGGATGGACCACAATTTCTTGAAACTAAATAGCAATAAAACCGAACTCCTCATCACCGGACCCAAGTCATTCCTTCCCTCTGCTCAAAACATATCCCTCAACATTGACGGCCACACAGTCACTCCCTCCTCCTCTGTACGCAACCTCGGCGTTATTATGGACTCCACCCTCTCCTTTAGACCCCACATTAACCTCATCTCCAAAACATTATTTTTCCACCTCCGTAACATCGCTCACCTCCCCCCCTCTCTCTCTTGATCCTCTGCTGAAATACTGGTTCATGCCTTCATCACCTCTAGACTTGACTACTGCAATAGCCTCCTCTTCGGTCTCCCTTCCACTCATCTTCAAAAACTACAATACATTCAGAACTCCGCCGCCCGCCTTCTCACCCACACCCGCTCCAGAGATCACATCACCCCTGTCCTCAAAAAACTCCACTGGCTCCCTGTCCCCTACCGCATCCAATACAAGGTCCTCCTCCTCACCTACAAGTCCCTCCATAACCTGGCCCCCTCATACCTCACTGACCTCCTCCATCATCACTGTCCCTCCCGCCGCCTCAGATCCACAGACTCCAACCTCCTCACTCCCCTCAGGACTAAACACCAAACCTTGGGGGACCGAGCCTTCGCTGCGGCTGCCCCCACTCTCTGGAACTCACTCCCTCAACCCGTCAGAAACTCAGACTCACTACAGAACTTTAAATCTCTCCTAAAAACCCACCTGTTTCATCTTGCCTTTCCTTAATTTTGTTTTTCAATGTTTATTTCTACGTGTTTTGTAAAGCGTCTTTGAGTGTCCAAAAAAGCGCTATATAAGTTTGATGCATAATTATTATTATTACAATGAAGCGCCACCAGCTGCGCGTTGAAAGCTCCTCCAGAGCCATCAGCGACCTAAGCAACATGTCTGATGAGGACCAAGCTTCACAGCTATAATATCTACATTTCTTAAATTACTATTACCTGCTACGCTGCGTACCGACACCCACACACACACACAAGCCGAGCGACCAGCACCCGGAAGTACAGATGGCAAGCGGGACAACGTCAATAATCTGCAGGGTTTTCTAGTGTGGTGTCTGGCGCCCCCTGCTGGTGGGCGGATAAACTGCCCATGCTACTACATAAATACTAAATATTGTAAATGTCCCAAACCTGTCGTCGTTCGAAACCCTCTGGCGAGCTCTTGATGACCAGCAGCAGGAAGATGTCGTCCCAGGGTTTCTCACTCTTGTCGGTGACGTCCAGCAGCATCGGAAAGTGGCGGCAGTGACGGAGGGAGAGGAAGTCCTGAGTGAGCGCAGGCAGGAGGCTGAAGCCCGACGTGAGAGAGACCGACGTGTTGCGCTCGCACTTCTCTCCTCTGTACGGGGCTTCACTCCGAGGCCAGCTCTCCTCAGGGGGTTTCTCCTCAGGGGGTTTCTCCTCAGGGGGTTTCTCCTCAGGGGGTTTCTCCTCAGGGGGTTTCTCCTCATGTTGTTGGATTTGTAGCATTTCTCTCATTTCTTTGTCTTTGCTCATAGACAGAAGCAGCATCACGAAACACACAGCGACGAGAAGAAGGAATCTCTGTTTAGCCTTGATCATGATGAGGAAGGAGGAGAGAGACCAGAAAGAGAGAGCAGACAGAGCAGGGAGAGACCAGAGAGAGAGACTCTCTCTCTGGTCTCTCTCTCTGGTCTCTCTCTCTGGTCTCTCTCTGGTCTCTCTCTGGTCTCTCTCTGGTCTCTCTCTGGTCTCTCTCTGGTCTCTCTCTGGTCTCTCTCTGGTCTCTCTCTGGTCTCTCTCTGGTCTCTCTCTGGTCTCTCTCTGGTCTCTCTCTGGTCTCTCTCTGGTCTCTCTCTGGTCTCTCTCTGGTCTCTCTCTGGTCTCTCTCTGGTCTCTCTCTGGTCTCTCTCTGGTCTCTCTCTGGTCTCTCTCTCTGGTCTCTCTCTGGTCTCTCTCTGGTCTCTCTCTGGTCTCTCTCTGGTCTCTCTCTGGTCTCTCTCTCTGGTTAGAAAACAGAACTATAAAAATAGAAGTTGTAGGGTTGTGTGAGGGTGTGACAGTTGAGACAGTTCCGCTCTGAGTTGTTCATCCTTCTTCCCCTTAATCCATTTCTGGGTGGGGGGTGGCAGTCAGAGCCCCTCCCTGATCTCTCTCTCTCCTGGGGGCTTCAGGCAAAGTGGGGTTAAGTGGCCTGGCCAGGGACACAACGACAGCAGACACCAGTGGGAGTCTGAAGTAGGTCTCATGGTGGACTCGAACCCACAACCTTCAGGCCAATGCTCTACACACTGAGCCACTGTCACCTCTGTGTTGTTCTGTCTTCCTGAAAATGTGAGACAGACGACTTCTCTGACAATGTTCAAGTCCAGGCTCAAAACAGGAGCAGACGGACCGAGACCAGGACCAATCAGAGACCAGGACCAATCAGAGACCAGGACCAATCAGAGACCAGGACCAATCAGAGACCAGGACCAATCAGAGACCAGAACCAATCAGAGACCAGGACCAATCAGAGACCAGAACAAATCAGAGACCAGGACCAATCAGAGACCAGGACAAATCAGAGACCAGGACCAATCAGAGACCAGAACAAATCAGAGACCAGGACCAATCAGAGACCAGGACAAATCAGAGACCAGGACCAATCAGAGACCAGAACCAATCAGAGACCAGAACCAATCAGAGAGCAGGACCAATCAGAGACCAAGACCAATCAGAGACCAGGACCAATCAGAGACCAGGACCAATCAGAGACCAAGACCAATCAGAGACCAGAACCAATCAGAGACCAGGACCAATCAGAGACCAGGACCAATCAGAGACCAGAATCAATCAGAGACCAGAACCAATCAGAGACCAGAACCAATCAGAGACCAGAACCAATCAGAGACCAGGACCAATCAGAGACCAGAACCAATCAGAGACCAGAACCAATCAGAGACCAGGACCAATCAGAGACCAGGACCAATCAGAGACCAGGACCAATCAGAGACCAGAACCAATCAGAGACCAGAACCAATCAGAGACCAGGACCAATCAGAGACCAGGACCAATCAGAGACCAGGACCAATCAGAGACCAGGACCAATCAGAGACCAGGACCAATCAGAGACCAGGGCCAATCAGAGACCAGGACCAATCAGAGACCAGGGATTATTCTGTGATCAAACAGTAACAATGTGACGTTTAGAGAAAGACCAAAGAATCTGACCTTTGATACACAGGTATGGAGACTTATGACTGAACCAGGACTGAACCAGGTCTGAACCAGGTCTGAACCAGGTCTGAACCAGGTCTGAACCAGGTCTGAACCAGGTCTGAACCAGGACTGAACCAGGACTGAACCAGGTCTACAGCAGGACTACAGCAGGACTACAGCAGGACTACAGCAGGACTAAAGCAGGTCTACAGCAGGACTAAAGCAGGACTACAGCAGGACTACAGCAGGACTACAGCAGGACTACAGCAGGACTACAGCAGGTCTACAGCAGGACTACAGCAGGACTACAGCAGGACTACAGCAGGACTACAGCAGGACTAAAGCAGGTCTACAGCAGGACTACAGCAGGACTACAGCAGGACTACAGCAGGACTAAAGCAGGACTACAGCAGGACTACAGCAGGTCTACAGCAGGACTACAGCAGGACTACAGCAGGACTACAGCAGGACTACAGCAGGTCTAAAGCAGGACTAAATACCATAAAACAAGTTAAAATTACACTTCTCATATTGTCAATTTGCATTAAAACTGTGTGACACCTTTAGTTTTTCACAATTGAGGGGAATTCTGGCCCATTCCTCCTGACAGAACACAGGTTTGTCGGCCGCCTGGGTCTCAGAAGCCACAAAAACCGTCACACTCCTGATACGTCGACAATAACTAAACAAAAGCAAGTTAACACATTTATTGTCTTATTACTAGATAGACAGCCAGCTAGCATTAGCCTGTGTTAGCTCGTGTTAGCTCGTGTTAGCTCGTGTTAGCTCGTGTTAGCTCGTGTTAGCTCGTGTTAGCCGTTAGCCTGTAGGGCACACGTCTGGGATCAGTGGTGTCGTCGACTCCAGTTTCACAGACTTCATGAATAAATCAGACTCAGATCAACTTCTCACTGTTCACAAAAAACTGTCTCTTTATCATTAAGAAAAACTAGAAAAAATAACAGAATCCGGTTTAACACGAGAGAATGGACTAAAGCAGGTCTAAAGCAGGACTAAAGCAGGACTAAAGCAGGTCTGAAGCAGGACTAAAGCAGGACTAAAGCAGGACTAAAGCAGGACTAAAGCAGGTCTAGAGCAGGTCTAGAGCAGGACTAAAGCAGGACTAAAGCAGGTCTAAAGCAGGACTAAAGCAGGACTAAAGCAGGTCTAAAGCAGGTCTGAACCAGCACTAAAGCAGGTCTAGAGCAGGTCTAGAGCAGGACTAAAGCAGGACTAAAGCAGGACTAAAGCAGGTCTAGAGCAGGTCTAGAGCAGGACTAAAGCAGGACTAAAGCAGGTCTAAAGCAGGACTAAAGCAGGTCTAGAGCAGGTCTAGAGCAGGACTAAAGCAGGACTAAAGCAGGTCTAAAGCAGGACTAAAGCAGGTCTAAAGCAGGTCTAAAGCAGGTCTGAACCAGCACTAAAGCAGGTCTAGAGCAGGTCTAGAGCAGGTCTAGAGCAGGACTAAAGCAGGACTAAAGCAGGTCAGAGAGAGACCAGAGACAGAGCAAAGCGAGTCCCACGGACTCTAATCAAAACAAGAAAAGAAACTTTATAAATCACAAATAAATAAATAATAATGACTGTTTTAAAACGAGTGAGAAAGTCTCAGATGGAACGGTCTCTTTACGATCTGCAGGTTTCTGTGTTTCCTCCTTTAGACCATGAAGACTTAGAACCAGCAGTGAACACATGAAAACCATGTTCCAGAAGAATGTCATGTGACGGAACTCTATCTCTAACTCTAACTCTAACTCTAACTAAGACATGTGTTTTGGACTGAATGTACTTTTTTGGGAGATTTTACAGATATGTTTCTGTTCGCTGCAGTGACGAACAGAGAGAGAGAGAGAGAGAGAGAGAGAGAGAGAGAGAGAGAGCAGGGGCAGAGAGGGAGAGAGAGAGAGAGAGAGAGAGAGAGAGAGAGAGAGAGAGAGAGAGAGAGAGAGAGAAGGGGCAGAGAGGGAGAGAGAGAGACAGAGAGAGAGAGACAGAGAGAGAGAGAGAGAGAGAGAGAGAGAGAGAGAGAGAGAGACACAGAGAGAGAGAGAGAGAGAGAGAGAGAGAGAGAGAGAGAGCAGGGGCAGAGAGGGCGAGAGAGACCAGAGAGAGAGAGAGAGAGAGCAGGGGCAGAGAGGGAGAGAGAGACCAGAGAGAGACCAGAGAGAGACCAGAGAAACCAGAGAGAGAGAGACCAGAGAGAGAGAGACCAGAGAGAGAGACCAGAGAAACCAGAGAGAGACCAGAGAGACCAGAGAGAGAGACCAGAGAGAGAGACCAGAGCGACTTTGTGTCTTTCTCCTCCCGGCTGTTATATTGTCGAGTTATTCTTCCATTAACGTACCATAAAACACAGACTGAGCCACAATCTACTCTTTTAATCATATAAATATAATATAAAATGTGCGGTTTTTCATTTTCACTCATAAAACCCCCCGACCCTTGACCCCAGACACCTCCCTCTCTTTAGCTCTCTGCCCCTTCATTAACTCTCAGTGACGTGACCTTAGCTCCACCCGCCCGGAACAACCCCGCGGTGAACTCAACGCACCCATCCATTTGTCACGCAGATGCTACGCTAACGCATGTGTACGTACGGGACAGAGAGAAGTGTCGGTTTGGATTTGAAAGGAAGAAGAGATGGTTAGGATGAGAAAAAACACATTGAGATCGTATGCTAGGACTGACGAGAGTGTGACATCACCACAGTGCTAGCCTTAATGCGGAAGAAGCTGATTTGAACATAAGCTAGCTGGAGCCAACTCACTTCTGTTGGCCTTTTTTCTGATGGCGTTAGCTTCTTCAGAGCTAACTGGTGGGGCTATAAACAGGATACCAGAACAGAGCTGCAGCTAATGCTAACAACACAGCTACAGCTAATGCTAACAACAGAGCAAACAGGGCTTCGGGAAGACAACGATAAGTCTTCTGAACTAATAAAACTAAATTCTTCTTTGCGCAGTAACAGGGGCAGATGTGTTGCTAAGACGGTTGCTAAGGAAAGCTGGGGTTTCAATTGAAGGCCTCTGATTGGTCAATCCTTAAACGGCGCAAATCTGGATTTAAAAAGACAACATCAAATATAAAACACCAGGATCACAGAGAGAGAGAAACTGAGATTTTTTAGAGCCCAAAAAGTTAATAGAAAAGAGCGAGTTGGAACCAAACTTCACCATGAGCACTTCCCTATTGAGCTTCATTGAGCTAGCATGTTAGCGTCATCCATCTGTAAACAGTCTATTCACATACTCTCTCTCTGGTCTCTCTCTCTGGTCTCTCTCTCTGGTCTCGCTCTGGTCTCGCTCTGGTCTCGCTCTGGTCTCGCTCTGGTCTCG